TTGCCCAGGGTGCACTACGTGGAGGTAAGTCTATTGCACACCCCTCACTTGCCACTATATATGGCTTTTAAAGCACTCAACGAAAAAAACATTACAACAGAAATATGAAATCGACATAATCGCTGTTTTAAACAGAGAACTGCTGTGAGAAACACAACATCGGAACGACTGAAGCAAAGAAGCTAATGGGCGCCCACATATTCACGAACACTGTTAAATTCTTGCCAATCTTGCTATGAAGTCTCGAGTACGGAGACTAATCTATAACCGAAGTCATTCCGGTAATACCATACCCGAAAGTGTATATAACGACTAAGCTCTCCGCTCAACTCAACTCAACCCAATAAACAGCCTGTCTTACCCCCCCCCCCTCTTTCTTTGGCATTTCTTGTGGCAGTTCAATAAACCTTTAGAACTCGCTTAAGACATGATTAGCTGCTTCGCGGGGCTTATGTTCTTTTACTCCTTAGGAAAGTCATTATTCCTAAAGAGTATATAACCAGATCTGTCATGATCCTTTCGATTTCATTGAACTTTTGGGAATTCATTAACCAGTAAGATTGAATGCAATTGCATGGTTCCTGTACTTGAATACTCGCTAGACCTAATATTTTACACAGAGAAGTGCTTTCCCACCACATATTAGATGTAAACCTGTATTTTGTGAGCCACCAAGCACATAGCTACTGAAGAACTGAAAGTAGACAGTGCAGACGAAGGCCAGCATGATCCAATGCAAATCTAGTATTCTAGATTATTCTTTTCTGAAGGTCCGCACAATAAGTAAGGGGTGTGGTCGTTGTGGTGAAATTGTCGCTCCAATTCACCTTTGTAGTGCTAAATGCCACACATTCGTACTGTAATATATCCACAGATCGTTTCATGATGATTTGTCTTCTCTGTAAGAGTTCCTATAATAAATAATTATTTAAACAATGCGGCCTAAGAAAACAAATAGCCTGAATTACGCAGAAAGATCTGTTGAGCTATAAACAGCCATAACGAAGATGAAAAATATTAGCATCAATGCTTCGCCGAAGTCGAAAATAAGCCTAAAGGTTTAAGTTTAAATATATTTATCACTTGATGATTGATTATGCAATCTGCCCCCATTTAAGTGCCCAAAGTAAAGAAAGTGTATGAAATAAGAAAACCTGTTAAATGGAGCAATTATTTTGGACGAAGTGTGATTAAAATCACTATGGAAAATATTTATTTATTTATATCAAATGGCAGGCGTCTTGATGGTTATCATTAGCCCTTTAGTTAACTTCAGGCTTCACA